ACACACACACACACACACACACACACACACACACACACACACACACACACATACATACATACATACAGACACCGTGACAACCTCGCGGGGATAGTCAGGGAAGCTTCCTGTGACCTTCAAACGTCGAGATCTGATGAAAACTCGATTTTTGCAAAACGGGGTAAAACCAATAACTTCCCGATTTTTGAAAATCTGAGATTTTTAGCGGGAAGTTAAAAATTAGCTACGCGAATTGCTAAACCAAAGGAAGAATGTTATTATCGACGATGGTAAAAATTAGTATACGCTGTGTGTGTATGGATTCTGTTTAATTAGTCGCCGTTTTGTAAAATTGAAAAAAATATTGATGTTTATTAGAGTAAAGAGGTTCAGTTATTATTATTAAAATCGAAAGTCGACTTTATTAAATTTACTCTCGTGAAAACCCTGGACTCTGGCGAGTAACAAAAGTACCCGTTACAAATGATATTCAGCTTAAATTTGAATCAGTTTTATAAATAAATATTGATTAACTACATTTGCGCTGATAGTGATGATTTATTAGTAGATTTCATACAAATGTACTAATTAACAAATCTAATTATATCAGATTAACGAATCTGGTCAGACTTGCATTTTGTCTACCCGAGAAAAAATTTTTCTATATAATCATATAAAATTGTATATAATCATATATGATTATATATGGAATCACATATATAATTATGTACAATTGACCTGATAGCCACACTTTCTCTTCAAGGTTTGGAATATCCGTGATTATTGTAAAATTAACGGAAAGTTTACGACAACCCGAGAAAAAGTTTTTCTATATAATCATATAAAATTGTATATAATCATATATGATTGTATATGATTATATATAGAATCACATATATAATTATTATATATACAATTATATATAATCATGTATAATTATATATAATCATACATGATTATATATGGAATTGTAAATAAGATTATATATAACTAAATATGACTATATATGGAGCAATATACAGCCATGCAAGATTATATATAGTCGCATATATAATTATATATAAGTATATATAATTATATATGCTTATATATAATTAAAATATATAAAAAATTTTTCTTTGAAAAAAAAATTCTTTTTTGGTAATCACAAAAAGTGTAAAATGATATTTATAATTACGTTTAAATAATTCTGAAATACAAAATTTGTTACATTTCCTATGAGATGTTTTGGTCTGCTCTGCTATTACCTAATAGTAAAATTATTGTTTATTTTATTATTTAAATAAGTGTTCTATTATAATGAGATTCGGTAAAATAAATAAATTATGAATTTATGACTATCCAAATATATTATAAAATTAATTTTTATATTATATTTATGATAAACTTATATGATACATTATGTAGATTAGGGTGTGCCAAAATGTAACTCCCGTGAAGGACCTTTCCCGCATGGAGAAATATATATGTCAAAAATATATGTCGCATATATAATATATATGCCGCATATATTTACGCAAAAAAAAATATGTCAACATATATTTTTCACATAGATGCTGACATATATGCAGAAATACATGCTTACATATATGTAGACATATATGTCGACATATATATAAGCATACAC